TCAGATGCTTAATAGTATCTGAGGAAGACTGGTGTAGAAAACTGAAGTGAATTGAAAGCTTCAGCGTCAGTCTACACCTTGACCAGGCACTGAAGTATGAATCAATCCATCACTTTTTATTTGAAATAATGCACTGGACCTTGGTCAAAAATATTACTGATATAAACAAATGGCACTGTTGATGGATCACTCTGTTTGGCAAAGTCCCCTTTCTTGATTAAAGCTGGCAACTATAGGGATAAAAGGACATCTGAAGTACTGTATCTAATAGATACTCTGATGAACTGTGTTTCCCAAAGGCCCAAATCCTATCCTTTCGTGTAAGAACTGTGACTTCCTGTAGTCCTTTGACTGATTTTAAGGTAGATTCTAAGATGCCTATTTCTAGCACACTGATGATTGAACAGGTCTGGAAGCAATACCTGAGTCACCCCAGCTTACAACTCAGGATTATAAGGAAATTTGAATTTAGTGCCTGTTTGCCTTAAACCATTATCAGCAGAAGTAAGACAGGAGCTGCTGAAGAAGCAGTATAGACATCTCTGTCATGGAGGAGGAGGTGACTGCCTGAGGCAGTAACCTGGTGTCTTCCTCTGTGACAGGTCACCTTCCCTGTGGATTAAATCTCTACAACTACAGTTGTTGAGCTGGTTTTGTACTATCTGTGAAGGTCGAAGATTGAAAGGTACAGTGTGGCATGCTTTGGGAACATTTCCTCCAGCTGAAAACTACAGTCTGCTCCATAAAAAAAAAAAAAGTATCAGGATGCAAATCCTTCATTGCCTCAGACTCTTTTTCTCCTTAAGAATGGGAAGACTATTTGCATATGCATTGATTAAATGAAATGCATTTGTTTTTTCAGATGCATTCATAGTGAATTGTTATAATTTAATCTATGCTGTGCAGGGTCCTGGGGGGAAGCCAACAAATGCAATATATGTCTAGATCATTAAAAATAATTTGTGTGCTGGAAAAAAAAGCATACAACTGATTGCAGGGTGTTCCATATTTATTCCATGGTAATGATAAATTGTTGTTGGTTTTCTCTGTTTACAAATCAAAAGGCAGGTTTTTAAAACATCAGCCTTCAGTCAGGGCTATGTAAGTCAAAGCAAACTGAGCAGATACCTCCCTAACATTTAGTACTTGTTATCACAAATTCAGGCTTCTCACATTAATTCATCTATTTAATCTCCAAAAGTCCTCTTAAGGAAAGTGAATGTTGTCTACATACTACTGTTGGAGAACTGAAGTGTAGGACAGGCTGAAAGTAACTTGACAGGAAGTACCTTTCCAGAAAGGGCTTATAGACAATCTACAGGTCTTAATCTCAGAAGATTGCTGGATATTTTTTATGTTACTCTAGGGGATTTCTTCATTGATAAACTGTCTCTGACTTCTCGTGTCTTCTTGGACCAAGCAGGGCTTATTATCTTAGCAATGCAGGGAGTCAACATGTACGATGACTAAGTGCCATTTTTATATTAAAACAGAATTCTAAGTAGAATTTTGTTAAAACTCCACCAGGTTGTGATATTTGGGGAATATGAAAGGGGTTAATGCCTGAAAAGATTTAAGATTTATTGATGACATGTAATCTCTAAATGTTTATTGAACTGTATGTAGTGATCTCTTAATCTGCTGCTGGAAAACAACCACATGAGAGCTGGAAGGCAGTGGCTGGCAGAATGCTCAGAGCACTATTATGTGGCAGTTGAGGGTGGAAGGAAAAGAGGTCTCTTTTCCATGCCAAATATTCTTGTGGATAAAATCTGGCTCCCTAGTGAAGTGCAGTGGCAACTTAAAGAAGAAAGACTGCATTGAAAAGGAAAACTAAAAGTCATGTTTTTAAGGAAAGATGTAAAAATGAAATTACCACATTCTTGCTTTGTTGAATATGTATGTTTTCCTGGTCCTCAGCATAATGAAGCCCTAAGCAAGGCTATAAAAAATTTAATATATAAAATAAAGCTGCTAAACTCTCCATTAGTGTCTGTACTTGCATGTGCACTGACCCCATGTGCTTCCTTCTGATGTCAGACAAAGGTAAGGTAAAGCCAAATAGAAATATATTTACCATGCAGCAGAATTATCTTAGAACTTTTACATAAATTGGCTGATAGGACAGCTCTTCATTACTGTTTTCTGCGTGGTCAATTTTCCTGGTAAAAGAGTGGCTAAGCCTTGTCCAGCAAGACCAAGACTTTACAGTTATTTCCAGGTGGGTAAATAAGGTACTTGAAGACCAAGGTCAAGGCTACATCTTGGTCCTCTCAAAGGCTAAACTCTAGAACCTGATCATAAAAATAATTCACAAGAATTAGCTGTCCTACATTTTTTTTTTTTTTTTTTGTCAAACTCTGAAGGCTGCTGCTAGTTTAATTACAGGAAAGACATGTACTACTGTTGTTCAATACAGGAAGTCTCACCTGTTAGACTGCAAGAACAACATAAACAAACAGTGTATATTCCAGGAGTCTTGCAAATAGCACCACTGTGATGTTCACCCAGTAAATAATCATTGGGGAAAAAAAAATATAAAGCATTGATTTCTCTGTAAGCAAGAGTACTATCCAGAATTTTATTAATCTCAGAAATGTTTTAGTCTCTCCTGATTCAATCAAATCCAAGAAAACACACTTTTGCTCTCCCATCAAGGTAATTTAGCATATTAGATGTTTCCCAAAATATCAGTTGAATTACATATATATGAGCCTCCAGGAAAGCCTTTGAAGAAAGGATACTAATGTTCTTGTTCTTGAAATAATATCCTCATATTGTCATGAGATATTAGCGATGCTGTCGTTTTTCTTGCTCAGTGATGGAGTGTTGTGGGCATTGCTCATCTCCAACCATTTGTCACTGTCTATTAGGGCACTTTAACTTACATTCACCACCTTGAAATGCTCTAATCATTGTGGTGAACTCCTGACAGTGGTCACTCATTCAGGTTAGGATGGGGTTTGCAGTGGGGCTGGCACGTGGGAAGTGGGTCAGCACAGCAGTTGTTGCAGTGGACCTCCGCTCATCCCTCTGATAGTGGGAATGCTTGAACTGGTTGTGCTGGATTTTGGGCAATTTTGAGAAGCTCCCTTCTTGTATCAGTATGTGGTATTGTATACATACTGGGAACATACAATTTGTGTGCTTTATTGCCTTTTTTTCAGGCTGCTGTGGAGTCCACTGCTGACTGAGTACTGGTATTTCTTATTAGATGATCTGAATTTAAAGTGTAGCTTTAGAAAACTGTGTATTAAGATTTCCTTCTTTTCGAGTCTTTTCTTCTTTATAAAGGTAGTGTTCAGGACTGTGAGAAAAGTGATGAAGAATGTAAATCTTAATTTTTGAAATTTCAGATTTATTGAATTTATTGTTGCTTATGAACAAGTGCATTTTCTATTAGCAGTGGGAAATACCCTCAAAGCAATCTAGACCAGAATGTGTATGCTAAACAACTAAGTCAAATCTCTTCAAACAGTCTTACTGTTGAAACAGCATTGAAATGGTTATTTGCTCTGCAATATAGTTGTTTAAATTGGTCTCAGTTACCATATGCTGTGTGTTGTCTCACTGAAACAGGGGCTAAAGCTAAAGACTGCATTTGTGTGGCTACTATGCAACTCACTGTGGATGCAACTGACATGCAGGAAACAGTAAAAATTAGTGCTTCCTGGATCTGAATTTTTTCTTTTGACCATATTTCAGTACTAATATTGCAGTATTTAATCATTACAGTCAATTACATGTCTTAATTAAATGCTACTAAGCACTTATTGCTGTGATAGTAAAATGGAAATAGCTACCTGTTGACTTAAGGGCAGCTTATAGGCTCTGGAATAAACATAAAACTTTCCTTATTTGTTTCTGAGGTTAAAATTGGAAAAGACCATAAGAAATGCATGAAAGACATTTTATGTTTGAGGATCTTGCTTTTGTTGCACATTTGCAGTTAATAGTATTGCAGATTTTGTTGCAGTTAGCAAAATGTTTGCAAAGTTGCCTGTTCAAGTGAAGGGATATTTTGTGTAGTTTGTGGATTGCATGTTCAAAATCAAAGTTTATGGAAGCAAAATAAATTAAAGGAGATCACTAATAATTTGAGCATATAAATAATCCATTGTAGATACCATAAATTTAATTGCATGTGCAGATTAAATCCCTCATTTGCAAGAAAGCCTCTTAGTATTCAGTTTATAATGTCACAATCTGTTGAGACAGACAACAGTTTTATGATAATTAACAATGGGAAAACCACAGAAGTCTTGAAGCTTGTTTTAGATAAGTACCAGAAATATGGCTGTTTATCCATCCTGCACAAACCTCCTGAGTTTTCTTGAAAAATTTTGGGTTCTTCAGTCCTTGAGGGAAACTAGACATGTATTGTAATTCTCCATTTGGTTCCCACTAGACTGCACAAGATCAGAGAAAAATTAGAAGAAAATTACTGATTAATTTTTGAGTTTCATTACAGAATGATAGTTCATATTGGTTTTACTTTTCTACTTTCCTTATTGTAGTGGTAGCTACAAAGTTGGAAGAGTTTTATGTGTTTGACTTATTACTAAAGTAATTCAGATCTGGATCATGTGACTCCTTTAGGTCTCTTTTTTTTTGGTGTGTGTATGTACAAATTACATGAATTTTCAGAGTTTTCTAATTCTAATCTGTGATGTTACTAAGATACTACTGCAAGCTTAATGAGGGATGCCTTGGAAACCTGTGCTACTAACTATGATCTGAATTCTTTTCTCAAATCATTTGGCCATTTCTGGTAGGTTAGGAACTTGATCCTCAGCTTCAAACATTACCAAATCAACTGCAATGAAATAAGAAGTTGTAATGAAATAAAAAGTTGCTTACTGCATGACCTGAAAAGACTGTACTTAGCAGTGTTTGTATGATGATGTTAAGCAGATTTGGAACTGGAACACCGATGAACTTGGCAGTTTCCATCTTAAGATATTTTAATCAATCCCACTGCAATATTTTCTCAATGCTAGGATTCTGCCAAACATCTGGCTGGGAAGTTGCCCTCGGCAGCTGGAGCATGTGACCATCAAGCTGAAGCACGAGCTGGGTGTTACGGCTGTGATGAACTTCCAGACTGAATGGGACATTGTTCAGAATTCCTGGGGCTGCAACCGCTACCCAGAGCCCATGAGCCCTGAAATCCTCATGAAACTGTATAAAGAGGAAGGTCTTGCCTATGTCTGGCTGCCAACTGCAGACATGAGCACTGAAGGTGATGTTTAGGTCACTCTTGCAGTAAATTAATAGCAACAACCCCTTTGAGTTACTAATCTGCCATTTTCATGACAGTTTGTTTTTTGCTTCCGTGTAAATTTTGCATAAAAATATAGTTAGCGCAAAAGTTATAATTTCTTTGTGTGCTGTCTTTAACAAATTATTCATATTTTCTTGTAAGCAGAGAGGCCATCTAAAGTACTTTGTGTCTGGCATCATTATGTGTATTTGAGTTTAAAGCCATCCGACATCAATAACTGCTTGGCTGTTTTTGCTTTCAGCTTGAATTCAGACCATATAATGAAAATATACTGTGTAGGTGGAAGACTGCAAGCTTGCACAGCAGGATAGCTTGCCATCTTTTCTGGTTAAAAATGGAGAGATAGTGCTGTGTGTCAGACAGCTGTGCTCTGCTGTTCCCTTCCCCAACAAATATTTTTACTTTAACTGTAGTATCCCAGCCTGATCAATCTCCATAGAGACATTTTATAATAATTTTTAATTAGCTTAGAATGTTCATAGCACCTGAGCTGTAACATAAATTATTAGTATTTTTAAGTCTTTGATTGAAACGCTCAGTTCAAAATCATGTTTCCAGCCTGTAGGTTAGAAAGTGAGCATGTTTTCAAGTGAGCAACCTACCAGCAGAAGAGATTGCTTTCAACACAGTGAAATACCACTACCTGAAATAGAGAACTGTCATATCAGTAATAGGACATCAGGGACGACAGGAGACCTTAAAATCACGATTTGAAAAGACTAAACATCTGTGCTCATCTGTGCCATGAGGAAAAGTTGGACTGTGCTGTTTGCAGCTTCAGTTCCTGGGATAGCAGGGAGAAAAGTGTCAGGAAATATAGTATATTCATCCTTTTGGGACTAAGAAAGGCTATTCTGTGTTGCATATAACCATATGCTTAGTACACAATTAAACCATAACTGTATTAAGTTGTACAGCAAAAAATCAGAACAATATTAAGTCCTCTGCTCTCCCGCCCTCAGTTACTATTGACTTGATGGCCTTTGTTACAATGTTTTGGAAAGCAGCAGTATGTAGGTACCTTCACAAACCTCTGGTACTTAAAAAACATTTCATTTTTGGCTTGCTAACTCTAAGTCTGGTCTATGTAGTTTGCTGCCTTGTCTCAGTTCCTGAGAAAACGAGTATGCCATGCACATCCAGTGTTAATCAGAGTGTATATTTAGAGAAGACTTGGAGCATTTTACAGCTTTGTGTTATCTGATTTTATGTTGCAAGAAAAAAACAAGTTAGTGCAGAAGGTCATTTGAGAAAAGAAAGAAAAAATATCAAATGCGTCAGGTTTGCCATTATTATTCACAGTTCATCAGGCTCTACAGACAAAATCTCAGCCATGAACCTAGCTTTCTCTAATGCAAATGAATGTGCCTTGTTTTTAACCTTAGGAAGAATACAGATGTTGCCACAAGCTGTCTGCCTCTTGCACGGGCTACTGGAGAATGGACACACTGTCTATGTTCATTGCAATGCTGGTGTTGGCAGGTCTACAGCTGCTGTCAGTGGCTGGCTGAAGTACGTCATGGGATGGAGCCTGCGGAAAGTCCAGTACTTTTTGACTTCCCGGAGACCAGCTGTCTACATAGATGAGGAAGCTCTGAATCGTGCTGAAGATGATTTCTACCAGAAATTTGGGCATCTTCGTTCCTCATACCAAATACAAGAGTAGAAAAGCAGAGGAGGAAAACGAAGGTGAAGAGGAATCCTTCTGTTTGAACCCCATGGAGTTAGAAATCGTGACTCAGGCACCAACTTCACCTCTTCAGATTATAAGCTTCTCATTAAAGTCATGAGAATTTTATTTAAGAAGTGCCTTGGGATATTTTTTATTTTCTTTATTTAAGCTGTTACAATTCATGTTTTCAATCCTCTTGGTGCAAGTATGAAACCTAGAAACCCTGCAAAGTGAAACTAAAATTTTCTTCTAACTTCTTGCCTATAGTAACTGAGATTTTAGGGTAGACACTAAACAAGATGTGAGGTGAAATAGAGTTGACAATATTTCAGCGACAAGAGAGCAAAGGCATTCTCAAAAAAAACAGTATAAAGGTTGACTGAATTAATGTTCAGGTTAGGATGGAGGAGATCATCAAAGCTGCTCAGCTATTTTAGGCAGAATGTAGATTGTTGCAGTGTTTTGTAGTAATTTTGTAGACAAGAGGTATTAATGAGAAAGACCATAAGAAAGTCGGTTTTTGAACTCAGTTTCTTAAGCAAAAAGCTAATGTCTAATGCAGTGAACTAAAATTTGCTCCCTTTGTCTTTCTAGTTAATGTTAAATATTATGAGCTACAGCTATGCTCTTTTATGACATTGGGATTGTGCTGGAATATGACACAAAGAGAGGAAACAGCTCCACCTACTGCAGTCTTGCTCTGTTGTGGGGAAGGATCACTATTTATCACGTTATTTTAGGTTGTGAGTTCTCTGCTACATTTTGCTTTTCTAGTCCTTGCAGTGCTGTACAATGAGCTCCCTAGGTGCCAAATCAATCTAAGCACTGGGGTAAGACAGGACCTATTGGAATTTTGTGATAAGCCTCTGTGCATGATTGACATCACAGCCTCTGGGCTGTTGACCTGGATTTGTGTCTTTATCATAGCAAAAGCCTCTCCTTGTGCAAGCATTGTGTGGATGTTCATGGATGTTAGGTTTATCTGATTGAAGCTAATGCTGGGTTACTTCTGGGATAAGTAAAGTGAATACATTCCTCTAAAGGAGCAAAGAGCAACTCTGAGGAGCGTTTCTCAGGAGCTTAGCCATAGTAGGCTAATGTTGGCTTTGTGGATGATCCCTGATGTTTTCCAGTGCTGTTTGGTCACTTAGCTAGACTAAGCAGTGGAACCAACAGCTTCCAGCCCTGCTCAGATAAAACCAATTTGCTGTAGGTTGAGTTCAAGACAGAAGGGAGAGAATGTATTTCCTAAGGAGGAGAAGAGTAAGGATGCATAAACATTAAGAAACCTAGTTTCTATAGGTTTATTCTTCAGTGAAATCTCATTTTTTCCAGCCAACTTGTTCCTCCAAAGATGCAGTCAGTGCCAGAGTAGTTTAGCTGATATATATTGATTTTCTGAATACTTAATGGAGAAACTATTAGATATGAACTGCTTATGGAGAAAGTCCAAAATAATATAATACATTTTATTTATCCTATACTTCAATCATCTGTAAAAATAAAAAATGTTTATTTAAGTTATTCTACATGTGTGGTTTTGGTCATGAATTTGTTTCTGGTTTTTTGAAATAACACTGCCTGTTCAGAAAATGGATGAGAAAAGTTCTCTATTAAATAAAGACAATGACAATTCCAGCAGCCCATTTTGTCATATGTCTTTGTCTCCCAATTTCACAAGTAGCAAAAAGGGTCATGACATATTTCTATATAGAGCTGGGACCAGCTCATCATTCACAGCGTTGTCTTGTCTGCTGTGTTGTGTCAGTTTTGGTGGGAAATCTCAAATAAACAACACAGCAAAGGTGTGTGGATGGCATGGCACCTCTGGTGTTTCCAAAGACAAGAAAAGGGTGTTTCTTTTCCTAGCCCCATGCAGAGAGCAGAGCAAGTGTGTTAGTGATGCTGTCTGGCTGTTGGGTTCGTGTGCAAATGGCTATGGCTGCCTGCCCAGGAGTTGCCCCATTTGGACTAGGTTTAAAGCAAAAACGGTGAGGTTTTGCTACTGTGTGCCTCTCAAAATCAAGCACTGAGAGGAGGAGAATGGCATAAGCAGAGAGTACAACTTGCTTAATTTTTACGTTGTGGTTGAGATATATTTGAAACCCCAAGCTTCAAATGTGTTTCCAAGCATCCCTGACAGACAGACCCTTCCACCAGATGCAACTCGTAATAAATGTTGGGACAAGTACTTGTGGACTTGGTTCTTGTTTCACAGCTATCTATATTTTTTCTTAGGGCTCTTGTGACTGAACGGTGCATAACATGGCACAAACAAGTAAGTATACGACTAAGTAAGTACAGCCACTCTCTACTGGCTATTTCCTAATTCTGATTTCATGGGCAGTGGAAGCAGACTGGTGCTTCATTTGCAGGGCAGGAATTCAAATGATACAGGAGTCACAGATTCAAGGAAGCCCTAGCAAGGAGCTGCTAATTCATTGTTTATTGTCATTTCAAGCAAAGGGTTGTTGATTCATTGCTTATTGTCACTTCAGTTTGCATTTATGCTGAAGTGCTTGGGAGCACATACTGTATACAGATTGCATTGGCTGATGAACTGCATAAAAGCAACTTGATAGCATCACATTAACAAAGAATGCAAGAAGATCCCAAGGGGATCTCAGAGGCTTGCTGTCTCTTGGTATCTATTTGTAGAATCTTTTTATTCCTCACTGCTACCGTCCTGCCTTCCTCATTGAGGGCCAGTCTGTCGAGCAATATTCATTCAAACCCTTTTCTGTTGAATGCAACTAGAACTTAAATGCTAAAGGGATCATTACAAGATACTAAAGCAACAGCAAAAGCAATCATATAAAAATATCCAATTTCTCCAAATGTATAAGTACAGAATAAATCTGCTTCTAGAGATTATCTTTAGAATTCCAATTTGTAATATGTTCTTATGCTGATTGGATCATTAGCTCTTTCCACAGACTAGCCTCTTGATGTAATTGGGATGAAAGGATGAAGACAGGCTGTTGTTTATACACTTGTATATTTCTTTGCTACTTTAGTAATAAACAGCTACAAAATTTAGAGAAGAACAGCTCCTATAGAAAGAATTAGAAACAGATAGACAGGAATGATTGTTTTGGAGTGAGCCCAAGAAATCAAAGTAATACACAAACAATAATGGAAATCAGGTAGAAATATTTTGATAACTCATCACTGAAGAGCATCAGTTGGGGAAAATGATTTTCTGATGCTATAAGCATCAGTATTCTCTGCTCTGTTTTTACTTCCATTAAGCCATATTTTTATCTCCATTAAATTAAAGAAGAAAGTAGAATTTGCTGAATGAAATAGGAACATTTATAACTCCAGGTACTTAGAGTATCTCAATGTCATTATTAGGTCAAACAGTAGTATGTGTTCTTTTCCAGGGCTATGTACATGAAGCAGCTAAGCAATTCTAGCTCTTACAAGTGATTTTGTAACAAGCACAGCCCCTTGAGGGATGGGTCAGGACTTAAATGTTATAATATTATCAATGTTTTTCCTTTTGACATCAGAAAAGTGTTAGTGACAATCTTCCACGACATTTTTAGGTAGGTAATGTAACCTGGTGAAAGGGAACTGGTCTGGCTGATGTCTGTTGAATACCTTCCTTTCTCCCTCACTCGCTATTTCACACGTTGAGCTTTGGTCCCTTTGGCACTTGCTTAGGTTGTAAGTTTATGGTCTTCCCTCTCTGTACAGCATCAAGCACAGTGAAGCTCTGGCTGCAGGTTTGATACCAGGCTGTACTCCAAAGTAATTGGAAAGTCTCACACCTGGCAACTCAGTTGTGCGTGCTACACAAAACCATGTGCAAAACAGTGTTTCTGCTCTGGAGTGGAATTAAAATTTGAGACTGCCAGTCAAGCCTGCTTGGGTAATTGCAAAGGAAAAAGATAGGCTGCAGGTTGTGCAGGAGTGGGTGATAAAATCCCTACTTAAAACAAGAATGCAAAAAGTCAAACTTACTCCATTACCTATCTAGATGGCCTTTTTGAGCTCTAATTTATAAAATCCACTGACTTGACTGGTCTGTAATTGAGAAAAAAAAATTGATTTTAAGTAACCAAAGACATTTGCCATTACTTTATTACCCTGTTGCTTCTTTTATTCTTCATCATTAAATTGCAGTGAGATGTTTCAAACCAATGATGAAGTTATAAAAGAATTATTCTTATAAAAAATGCACTGTGCTGTGCAGCAGAAAAAAAAAGAAGAAATATTTAGAAGGATAATAACTACTGGAAAAGCATATATTTGGCAAGCAAGAGCTACGTTTTTGGAGGATAATGAACATCAGGCTGCCTTTAGCTAAAATGGAATTGGATTAGTGTAGCAAAGGGTAGGATATAGCTGACTGTCTCCAACTCTGTTTACAGTCTCAGTGGCAAATCACCTCTGTGGTTATTTCTTTAAAAACATTCTGCTAGAAAAAAAATTGTGGTTTATTTTCCACATGAATATAGCTTAAAGGGCAAGGGACTACTGCGAGGGGGCAGACTTTTGGAATGATGGAAGTAGAAAGGAATTAATCCTTTTTCTATTTCTTAGCAACAGAGTGACATCACCAATGGCAAGACCAAACCACATGACTTCATAATTGATCTCCTTCCTAAATTAATAGAGGAAAGCAATATTTTCAAGGGCAGTGACATTATCATATGTTAGCATAATTGCATGGTTGTGATATAAGCAACTAAAATACATGTTGTTGGCACTTCAGTTGTGCTAACAGTGAATCTATGGGGTGTTCATTCTTCATTAGACGTATTTTCTTCTTGCTACCCCTTTTCACCTCAAGGTCCTTCATTCCAGTCTTAACTGGTTTACAAACAGTTTTGGCTAAAAGTTGCTGCATTTGTAAGGATGAGTAATGAGTATTTTATTAAACCCTTTTAACATATTGTCTTATGAAGTAAGAACTGTTATACCCAGTAAACTACGATTCATAACTAATTTAGCCCAATATGATTCAATCTTTTTGTGCTTAAATATGTTGTCTTATTTGGGA